CATTCTACATAGAGGTACATGAGCCCTTTAATTGAACCATGACTATACACATAGGTTATCAAGGTTTCTGTGGTTCATACGCATTCTGGTGTCGTATTGATCTCAAACTTTTTCTTAGGATTGCACGTGCCACATGTGAAGGAAACACTTAGTTTGAGATTTTTCGGAGATGGTCTGCTACTTTCTGACGTTTAATTGAATTTTCGCGCGACGACACCGATTTATTATAGGTTGAACTGAGTCTACCCATGAAAAGATTTAGAATAGTGTTAAACTTTTACACAGGCTCTAATGTATTCTAGGGATAATAATTTTGTGAAGGTCGATGAAAAAATCTATTTGGTCCAAGATGTAATTCACCATCTTTTATCTCATTCAGCACAGAGAAAAATATATTAATAAAAAAATGATTAGAAAAACCTCAGATCTTGTTTGAGGCCTTAATTTGGGTATACATGCTTGCCAAAAAAATTTCAAGCCATTTCAACATAGGCGGAGTATACATTCTTCACAGAGGTACATGAGCCCTTTCATCGAATCATGACTATACACAAAGGTTATTAAGGTTTCTGTGGTTCATACGCATTCCAATGTCGTATTGGTCTCAAACTTTTTCTTAGGCTTGCACATGCCACGTGTGAAGGAAACACCTAGTTTGGGATTTTTCGGGGATGGTTTGCTACTTCCTGAGGTTTAATTGAATTTTCGCGCGACGACACCATTTAATTATAGGTTGAACTGAGTCTACCCACGAAAAGATCCAAAATAGTGCTAAACTTTTACACAGGCTCTAATGTATTCTAGGGATCATAATTTTGTGAAGGTCGATGAAAAAATCTATTGGCTCCAAGATGTAATTCACCATCTTTTGTCTCATTCAGCACAGAGAAAAATATATTAATAAAAAAATGATTAGAAAAACCTCATATCTTGTTTGGGGCCTTAATTTGGGTATACATACTTACCAAAAAAATTTCAAGTCATTTCGACATAGGCGGAGTATACATTCTTTATAGAGGTATATTAGCCCTTTCATCGAATCATAACTATACACATAGGTTATCAAGGTTTCTGTGGTTCATATGCATTCCGGTGTCGTATTGGTTTCAAACTTTTTCTTAGGCTTGCACATGCCACGTGTGAAGGAAACACCTAGTTTGGGATTTTTCGGAGATGGTCTGCTACTTTCTGAGGTTTAATTGGATTTCCACACGACGACACCGATTTATTATAGGTTGAACTGAGTCTACCCACAAAAAGATCCGGAATAGTACTTAGAACTGAGCAGAAAGAATAAGGAGAACTCAGAAAGCGACGAATCCTCATCATCTCGGCTCTCGTGGCTACGCCAAAAAGATGTTAGAATTTGAAGGAGAACTTGAAAAGATGGATCACCTTGCTGAGGAAGGTGTTCAAGTTGAGACCATCGATTGGGAGCCCAGATCGGTAATATACTATATGGGGAGGAATATACGGCACGCTGAGGACGGGAGCTTTAGCTCCACAAATCAACCCATGAGCGAATTCATCTAGAGGATCTCATAGGTAACTGAGGAGGTGAGGCAAGGGACTCGCACTTTTAATAGGGAGAAAGACGTGCTCACCCAAGCACTCGGAACCAAGGAGCACCCTGGTCGCATTAGAGGAACCGGTGTTGTTCCTTGGAAACTAGCATTCTCCCAAGAATCTAACACTTACCGGAGCCGCTCGAGGGGTAAAGCGGATCAGGAGGCAGAGTATTTGAGGCGACTAAAAGAGATGGAAGACAGAATGGATGCATGGATTGACGCGACTGTTGAAGCATGAGTCTAGCAAATTTTGCTTTCCAAAGGGTCAAGAGTGCCATAAAACCCTACTCCTACTGCCTTTAGCCCACAGTTTAGGGGTCATAGCAGCTGCGGATCGACCCTCTCGATGAAGAAGATGCGAATGTGCCTCATCCGGCATCACTGAACCCGTCAATGTTAAGTTGTACATCCATCAGGAATGGATAAAGGACAAGGTGGCACTCGGCCAGGCCTGGCCTATGGGAGATGGGACCATTAATGGCCGCCTAATTCCATAGGGGTACGCTCGTGTCACCATTGATAGAATACTTGATAAGAAGTATAATAAGATACACATTGAGTACCCCACAACGGAAGATAGGCCGAAACTTGGTCATAACAAGAGCTCTCAAGTTACCTAGCGTAAGCGCTTTATTAAGCTTGACCACCGATTGACCTTTGATGATGAGGACGGCTGTGAGTCTTCGCCCACCCGTGATGATCACTCAACATCTCCCAACAGAGATCACTCCTCTCCTCATCCCTTGCCATCACCCTCGAGAAGACAGAGGTCTCCTTCTATTCCTCCTCGTCCGACTCCATCTTTATTAGTCTCGAGAAAAGAGAAGACTCCTCCACCTCCTCCTCCATCTTCATCAGCCCCAGGAAAATAGAATTCTCATCGTCATCCTCCTCCTCCTCCTCTACCTCAGCCCAAAACAAGATCAAAGACATCATCGTAGTCGCAGAAAAGGTTCTTGGATTCGGTCGCTAATGCTCCCAAAGTGGACCAACAAAAAAGAAAAATGTCATTCAGTGGCAGCGTTACAAACTTGATGGAAGAAAAATTTACATCACACATCTCAAAGCAAGATTGTGTTAGTCTCTTCAATCTCTATGTCTCACTGCCTCCATATTTGTTGAAGTCCGAATTCAAAAGGCAAACACAGAATTAGTACGCTACAATAAGAACCGATGAAATACACAATAAAGATTTAAGCAAGATACAGAAGTACATCAAAGACAACCCCGAATTAACCATGGAAGAGCCCGCGAACATCTATTATGATGTACAAGGGATGGGAACACCAGCAATGAAGTATAAAAGGGGCAATCTTTTGGTTCCCGATGACGAGTATAAAAATTTGACAACATATATGCTTCAGTTGCATGAATATTACATGGCTCAAGCAACAGAGACGGAGGATTTTGGTTTTGAGGTTATTATCTGTTCGCCACATATTTTTCATTGTCCTGAAGAAGAGAAGTTTGACGTCGAGTGGGAGTGCTTGTTCCAGCTATACCAGAAACACTCTCTCGATTCACAAATGTTGACGCTGTAGACTATATAAGTACCCTACACGCATAATATTATAATTAACTACTCTCTCGAGACATAAATTATTAACTTTTGACCAATTCCTATGATTTTATGTAGGTGTATAGCAAAATTTTGCATACTAAAAAGCAAATGGGATAACATAGGCTTCTTGGACCCCTTGCGAGTCAATGAGAAGACATGTTTAGGCCTCCATAGATGTGACGTGAAAGACTTGAAAGAGAGATTAATTGCTATTTTCGATGAATTCAAGATAAAGAACAAAACCCACATACTTCTAGCCTACAACTATGAGTATGTGTTCTCGACTTTTAATTTTATACTTCTCTTTTCGTTAAGATTATTTGATAATTAGGATTCTGTGATTGCAGCAACCATTTCGTCTTCATTTGTGTCAATCTTGCTAAAAATCTGATCGAGGTGTTGGACTTGAAGAAAAAACCATTTCATCATCTGGATGCACTGGTGGCAGTGTTGAATTAGTAAGCGATCCTAATAACATATTATTTTCTAGTCACACATACCGCTTTCTAATATTTCTCCTTTTAATGTTGCACAGTGTCCAAAGAAGACATATCGGTGGGACATAGGTCATATTCAAGGTTGTCGAAATGGAGGGGAAGTACCTAAAACAGCCGGCAGGAAACAATGAATGCGAGTTTTATGTAATGTGGGCAATGCTTCGCTACATCGGCGAGAAATCGAAAGAAGCAGATAAGTTGGTGTGTATAATCCTCATTTTATTTATGTCTATTAATAATTCAACAAAATGATTTCCTGATTCCTCTTTAGATATCATCTTCTTTGAACGACAGCGCAAGAAATATAACCACGAAAGACTGTTAGACATGGAGATCATCGCACTGCAATCAGAGCTGGCAAAATTCATCTTAGTCGAGGTATTGGAAAAAGATGGAGTATTTTCCATCGCACAATCCGTAAAGTTCAAGAACTAGTATGGCCTAGAGTGGCTCGCTAGATTAGTGTAAGAAGTCCGAGACGCATGCTTTATCTTATCGAATAATTTCTTTTTTATTTTGAGGGATCGAGTTTTTGATAAGAACATTTGAACGGTAACCGTAACATTTGTAATGTTTAATATTGATGGACCTGTCATCTACGTAGCGTATATAAAGCAAAACTCGATTTCACGAAAAAATATAAATTAAAATAAATTATAAAAAATAAAATGCAAACGAGCCATCACTGTCGGTCAGCAATAAATCGGCAGTGTTGTCGTAACCTTCACTGTCGGTTAGAAACAAACCGACAGTGTTAGCCAAGATGGCACTGCCGGCTTGAGCCACAAACCGGCGACGTTAGCTTATCCATCACTGCCGGTTCTTGTCACAAACTGACAGTGCTCGTTATGACAACACTACTGGTTAAAACAAAAACCGACAGTGTTGGTAGATCTGAACTCTGCCGGGTGGTCTAATGAGTCGACGTGTTGGTGGACCAGAGCTAGAACCGACAGTGAAGTTGAAGAACACTGCCGGTTTGTAGAAACCGACAATGATAGCTGACCCTCATCACTGCCGGTATGGTGATGCCAGTTTAAAACCCGATAGTGATGGGGTGTTTTGAACCGACAGTGAAGTGCTATTCTGACGTAGTGCATGCAGCCCAAGTCCTAATCTCTACCCATATAATATACCACTTCAAATTATCCTACAGCCACCAAATAAATCTCATATATATATAGTCATGACCTAAACTACGTCCACCCCACTGAACACACGTAGAAAAAAAAAACATTAAATGCATCTCTCGCCCCCCATCTCCCCACTTCACCGCTCCACCCCACCCACGCGCGCAGACGCCGGTCCCGATCCACGCCGCCGCTTCTGCAGTCGTTGGGGTTGGTAGTGGTCGGGTAGTACTCGCAGTAGTGCATGGCGGCGGGAGCGGCGTACGGTGGCGGCGGTTGGTAGCTCTGTAGCTGTACTCGAACGACAGACTTGCTCCCTCCTTCCGTTCCCGTACACGGCGGAGTCGCGCGAGAGGCCCGCCGGAGCCGCCGGATCCGTAGTTGCCGGCGCCGGCGTGCAGGGTCCGCAGCTCGACGACGTCGGCGTGGCCCTCCTTCTAGCGCAGGTGGGTGGTGAGGACATGCCGTAACTGGATCTCGCCAGCCGCTGTGAGGACGAAGCCGCCGCCGCCGCCGCGAGGCTAGCAGCCGCCACTCGGGCGCGCCATCAGCCACCGCTCGAGAGGCCGCGAGGCCAGCAGCCGCAGCTCGTGAGGCTGCGATTGCGTGCTGCAGGGAGCCGCGGAGTGGTGTGCATCACCTCCGGCGGTACTACGGTGCCCCTGGAGCAGCGGTGCGTGCGATTCATCGACAATTTAGGCTCCGGCCAGCGCGGTGCCGCCTCCACCGAGTACGCAGACAAATCACGCACTCATCTGCTTTTTACTGCTCTGCTTGCTCATGCTGTTATGGAGCTGGTCCGTTCATCTTTTGGTTCAATGGAGATCGGTTCAATGCAGGTATTTTCTCAAGGCCGGCTACCCTGTCATCTTCATCCATCGCCGGTGAGTCCTCCGAACCAGACAATTTTTGTTCAGTATAGTTGGGGTGGAACTGAACTAGCTGCATGCTCAAAATTGTTTTTGTTCAGTTCTGAATGCCCAAATAAGACAAGTTGTGAGTGACACCTACCTCTTTGCAGTGGGAGCAAGCAGCCTTACTGTAGGTTTCTTCCAGAGGATTCCTTTCTCGATCTTTTTGAGCTCGGTGAAGACTCGGAGATCCAAGGTTTGGACTGTAATCCTGAATTATGCATGTCATGCAAACTGACCCAAAATCTGACTGGTCTGGCGGCTCCCTGTATGGTTTTATGTTACCTGCCTTCTTAGTTTATCTCCTCGCCTTGAATGTTCAGTCACTATATGCATTTTTCTTTTGAAACACCTGTTTGTATCCTTGTTATGCATCTCAGTTCCACAGTCTCATTCCTCGGTGGTCAAGGCAGCAATTAGCAATTACCGGAAGGTATATATATATATGTGCCTCTTGTATGTCGTCTTTCTCTTGTGAAGCATTAGCTGCAACCAGATTGAAATGGTACCATGGCTGTCTTGTATTCACTATCACAGGCAACCAGATTGAACCAGATTGAACGGGTACGACGCGGCGGCGCACCTGACGGAGGAGACATTCTGCAGCATCAGCATCATCTCCGTCTTCGGCTGGGCGTACATTCTGGCCCTCATCTTCAGCATCCAGGTACTTGCTTGCTGAGGAAACTAACACACGTGCAATGCATTGCAGTCAGCCGTCGATTCCTCTCACAAATGTCATCCCATGTCAGATTAATTGATTAAGAAAAATATTTATTCTATAATATTTGAAACTGCATAGAGAAGGTGGCAATGCGGATGTGGTAGCTGGATAGAGATAGCAATGCAACGTCCTGATATTTGCATTCTTTCAGATTCCTACGGATCTACATGAATTCTACTGTGGTTAATTAAAAACAAAAAAAAGGCTATGTCAAACCAGAAAGCAGATCACAGTACTTTAGATGACATAACAAACAACAACACAGGTACGAGCGCTTCATGGGCTGTGGCGGAGTTACTTTCATATTTTTATAACCTTCTTAGTTTCAGTTCAACCACCTGTGCATGAGGCTGAGCGGAAGAGGGAAGAGAGGAATAGAAAACAACGAGAATACCGAGCAAGAATAAAGGCTAACGAAACTGACGAGCAGAGAGAAGAGAGGAATAAAAGGCGTCGGGAACGAGTATTGAAGAGGACAGAGTCGTCGACGCATATTATAGGGCCTGATCATGGTATTGCTTATTTTTTTAATAATGCTTCCTTTGTTGTTTTTTTTTTCAATGTTGATCTTACTCCTTGAATGATGATAGGTCAACAAGCACCATATGGAGTGTGTTCAGGTATTCTCCAAGCATCAGATGCTGAGGACAAGGAAAATGTGTGCCCGGAAAACAACACGGATTGGCTACATAAAAATTATAATTATGTCCGTACAAGACAACCGACCTCTCATACTTCTTGTGTGCCCAACAGCCTGACAAGCCACAATCTGTTCAATGCAATGGCAACGCCAGGTGCCATCTTTGTATTTTTTCATTTTTGCAATCCATGTTGCAACTTTGACAATGACAATGTTTTCCACCCAATGGTGATCAGTTACCAGCTCAAATAGCCAAAGGGCCCTCGCAAAACGAGAGAGGTACAATAATATGAATGAACACGACAAGGAAAACATGTTGCAGAGAAAAAGAGACTACAAGAAAAAGATGAGGACACAGTCAGCCGGTGACTTAGCAAAGGAAACATTGCATACAGTACAAAATGATATAGAATATGATGGTGCCTTGTTCGAGCCTATAACCAATCAATCTGATGAAGGTGTGTTCATTTTCTTTTTTTCCAACAAAAAAGCACGTTTATTTTATTTTATTTTGATAACACACTCGGTCAATGTGTTCTATACCTAATTGTTGGACCAAACATCATGCAGAGGACCATATGGAAGCACCTCGTGCTTTTGATATTGATGATCTTCTTGATGACGAAGAGACCAGGCAGTACATTGGTGAAGGTAAATTTATTTTGTGTGGCGCTTTCGAGTAAATTAATTTTGGTGAAAGTAAAATTTATTAATGTTGTGTAATAATGGCCAATACTTGCTTTCATAGCAGATGGTGCCTTCGAGTCCTATCGTGTCAGTGTTAATGGTGTTGATCTGAATAACAATGAAGATCCTTACGATTATGTCTACCAAAATTTGTCTGATAGGCACCATGTTCTGAGAAAGGTGCCTAACTGCTTGTACTGTGGAGCAAGGAGATTTCAATATGAATCACCTGGATTCTGATGTAGAAAAGGAAAGATAAAAGTACATGTTCCACAAGTGCCTGTTGAGTTAAAAAGGTTACTCACAAGTCAGGTAGATAATGATGCACAATATTTCAGGCAAAATATCCGGTACTTCAACTCTCATGTCTCTTTCACGAGCCTTGGAGTAACCTTGGATCGACGAGTTGCCACCGCAGCAGGGACTAGTATATATACATTTCGTGTGCATGGGGCCTTGTACCATCGCCTATACCATTTGGTCCCAGGTTCGAAAGGGGCTCGCCACTTGCAACTCTACTTTTATGATACTGAGGATGACAGTTTGGCGCACAGAAAGAAGAGATCGCCTGACCTAGATATCAATCTTATCAGAACTGTGCTGCGAATAATGGAAGGCAACCCATATGTACAGACCTTTAACAGAGTTGGAGTTAAATCTTGATGACTATGTAATTGAACTCAATACTAATGTCACACCAGACCAACGAAGGTACGCATGTTCATGAATATATTTATGTATTACGAGATATTATTATTCTACTACAAATAAATTTGTTTTATTTGTACTACTAAATATATGTTCCTTTGTTGAAAACAAGGTACAATGCAGCTATCTGGTCAGATGGCAACGATCCCCAAAGATGTTTTGATAGGAGTGTGCTTGTGTATGCCAGAGGGGATCGCTCGCGCTATATCAAAGCATATCATGGATGTTATGATCCATTGTCATATCCCTTATTTAAACCTAAGGGGGAAACTGGCTGGAATAAATTTATGTTGTACAATGATACAGTGACTGATAAGGAAGGACACACCTCGGTTCATCCAACAGAAGCAGCAGATCCAACAAAATTTAACATGATTTAATTTCCAATGCCTTAATAAAACGCATGAGTACATACTAATATATAATTTTTTGTTAGAGATAGAGCAAGGTGAGGATGACACGGACGTACAACAAGGTGAAAACATGAGTACCATGGTGGAGGAACGACAATATGGGAGATTTGTGACAGCAAGAGAGTACTATTGTTATTTGATGCAAGTTAGAGAGGGGCTTTTTAACATATTGCTATTTGGAGGACGACTTTTCCAACAATGGGTCGTTGACATGTACGTAAAGATCGAGTCTATGAGGCTTGATTGGTATTCTAACCCTGATAACCAGAAACTCATACGCGCAGAACTAGATTAGGTGAGTTATGCAATGTTTTATTATTTGCAATATAATATGACACAACAATTCAAAACTAAAAAAACATACATGCTCTATATTTTTTATTTTTTATGTAGGGTTTGGTTGATGTAATTTCTGTCGGGGAGACAAAGGCTTCAGAGGTTGGCAAGAGAATAGTGCTACCCCGCAGTTTCCCAGGTGGCGATCGTGACATGATGCAAAGATTTCTTAATGCAATGGCTATAGTCCAGCGTTTTGGAAAACCAGATTACTTCATCACCATGACTTGCAATCCATACTAGGAGGAGATTACTCAAAATCTTGAGCCTGGCCAACAACCACAAGATAGGCCAGAGATGGTTTCAAGAGTATACAGGGCCAAGCTGCAATCCTTGATGGATTTATTGATCAAGAAAAAGTATTTTGGAGAGGTGGCAGCATATGTCCATGTCACTGAATTCCAAAAGAGGGGGCTTCCACATGAACACATCCTACTAATTATGAAGAAAGGCAGTAACTTAACAACCCTAGATGCTTATGACAAAGTCATTTCTGCAGAGCTACCAGACAAGGATAAATACCCTGTGTTGCATAGCCTGGTCATCAAGCATATGCCGCATGGCCCATGTGGTGTCTTGAATAGAAAGTGTGCTTGTATGGTTAATAGAGAATGCCGCTTTCGCTATCCTAGACAGTTTTGTGCAGCAACACAGCAAGGCAAAGATTCATATCCTTTGTATAGGAGGAGGGATGATGGACGTTGTGTGAAAGTAAGAGGTGCCGAGTTGGACAATAGGTGGGTGGTTCCATACAATCCTGGGCTGCTTATGACATATAATTGCCACATAAATGTTGAAGCTTGCTCAAGCATCAAAGCTTGTAAGTACTTGTTTAAGTATGTACACAAAGGCCACGACCGTGCATCATACTCTGTTGATCCTGCTGGAGTAATCAATGAGATCCATCAGTACAGGGATGCTAGATACATATCACCCCCGGAAGCTGTACATAGGATTTTCGGCTTCCACCTTTTTGGAGGTTGTCCATCTGTTTTGCAGCTCCAGTGTCATCTACCTAATATGCAGTCTGTTATTACTGAGGAGACAGCCAATCTCAAGGATGTTGTAAAAAAACCATCTGCAACTATGATGACACTCACGGAATACTTCACGTTGAACCGTGAAGATAGTTATGCAAGGAAATTCTTGTATAGAGAGATCCCGGAACACTACCGGTGGATTAGTGGTAAGAAGGCGTGGCAAAGAAGAAAGCAGAGGGGACAGGTGGGGCGTATTGTGTATGCACACCCGGCTGAAGGAGAAAGATATTTCTTGAGAGTACTTCTAAATCATGTATGAGGTGCAACCTCATTTGAGAATTTCTTGACGATTCTTTGGAATCATGTACCCTACTTTCGGAGAAACATGCGAGAAGAGAGGACTCATAGAAAGGGATCGACCTATTGATGACTTGCTTGAGTGAGGCAACAACTTTTCAGATGCCGGCTGAGCTCATGACGGTTATTTGTGACTATTCTTGTGTTTTGTGAGGCCACCAACATCCGTGGATTGTGGGACAAGCACAAGGAATCTTTCTCCGAAGATTATAGCCGAAACAATCCGAACACAACAGCAGTAGAACAAATGGTTCTCAGAGACATTCGGGATTTAATTCAGTCAATGGGAAAGGATATAAGGAATTATGATCTACCTAAGCTAAATGATATGGGTAATATTTTCAGCATTAATATTATTCTAAAAAATATTTTATTGTCCGGTAGAATACATAATTGTAATACTTTAATATCTAGATGTCAATATAGTAACTATTTCATATATTATTTACTTATTCCATATATTTATTTACTTATTCCATTATCATTTTCTTGTGTCAAGCAGATGAATTTAACAATGACATTATGAAAGAGGTTAGGGAGGAACTGGCTGTGCCTGTCGACCAAGAACATTTGGATATGTATGCTTCTCTTAACAAGGAACAACGAGAAGGATTTGATGAAATATTAAATTGTGTACTGAATAAGAAGAGCCAAGTGTTTTTCGTGGATGGTCCAGGAGGAACAGGAAAGACATTCCTATATAAGGCACTTCTTGGTAGAGTGCGCTCAGAGGGATTAATTGCCATTGCAACTGCAACTTCAGGTATTGCGGCGTCCATATTGCCTGGAGGACGCACAGCACACTCAAGGTTCAAAATCCCAATTAAGCTTGCTAACAATACCACATGCACCTTCACAAAGCAAAGTGGCACTGTAGAGTTACTGCGTACGGCATCCTTGATTATCTGGGATGAAGTAGCGATGACAAAGCGGCTAGCAGTGGAGTGTCTTGATAGGTCCCTCTAGGATGTTATGAATTCTTGTTTGCCATTTGGGGGAAAGGTTATGGTATTTGATGGACATTTTAGACAGGTGCTACCTGTGGTACCACGTGGGACAAGAGCACAGGTAACAGATGCTACATTGCAACGATCTTATTTGTGGGAAAGAATAAGGAAGATACAATTGTCACGAAACATGAGGGCTCAGTCTGACCCATGGTTTGCAGATTACCTCCTTAGAATTGGGAATGGAACTGAAGAGACAATTGGAGATGATTATGTCCGTCTTCCAGATGATATTTTGATTGAGTATACTAAAAACGAAGAATCGGTAAACAAGCTCATTCAAGAAGTCTTCCCATCACTTGAGAAAAATGCAAGATCATCAGCTTATATGAGCAAACGTGCCATCCTGTCTACCACTAATGAACATGTGGATCAGCTAAATGCAAGTATGATTGACAAATTTCCAGGTGAGGAAAAGGTTTATCATAGCTTCGACTCTGTTGATGATGACTCAAGGAATAACTATCCTATTGACTTCTTGAACTCCATCACTCCAAATGGTCTCCCCTCACATGAGCTCAAAATAAAAACCAACTACCCTATGATCCTTCTCCGCAATCTTGATCCTAACAATGGCTTGTGCAATGGAACAAGACTAATGGTTAGAGCATTCCAAGACAATGCAATTGATGTAGAAATAGTTGGTGGGCAACATGAAGGGAAAAGGGTGTTCATACCTAGAATCCCTATGTCTCCATCGGATGATATTTCACTTCCTTTCAAGTTGAAAAGGAAGCAATTCCCAATTCGTTTGAGCTTTGCGATGACAATAAATAAAGCTTAGGGGCAAACCATCCCACATGTTGGGATCTATCTTCCAAAGCCAGTGTTCTCACATGGGCAGCTCTATGTTGCCTTGTCGAGGGGTGTGTCCAGGCAAACAACAAGAATATTGGCCAAACCAAACAAGGAATTAGATCCAACAGGAAAGTGCACCAAGAATATAGTGTATAAAGATGTCCTGCAATGGTGACAAGGTGGTAAGTAATGTCCTATATGCTTTTATGTTCTCTTCATCTCATGATATTTGACTTGAGAGACAGTGACGAGCAGCATGTATGGCTATATGACAGAGATACTCGAAGGTCTTCAAGTGGGTTATGGTGCTATTCAAAAGTGATATACATTAATACCGGCTCTTGTTTAGCTGGAACTGAGAGGTGAATTTTTCATTGTTTAATTCTGTTTTTTTCATATTATTTGATACTTTAGTGATCTGAGTTTTTAGTGATCACCTGCTGGATGCTGCTCGGCCTACAGCACCAGGATCGCCGCTGCCATTGCTTGCTCTTTGCGAGTTTTACTGATGGGTATATGATTTATGAATGACAGGTGTCAGGAGCTGTTACAACGAGGGCAACCGTATAGCTGAAACGTTGACCATGGATTCGTTGACCAAACATTTTTTCCCCAGTGATATATTTATGTACTGGTTTGCA